AGCTCCTTAAATCCATTCAGAAGTCCCATACCAATGATTACGGTCCTGACAACATCCCAGTCAGACTGATTAAAGCCGCATTGCCATCCATTCTTCCGATCCTTTATCATATATACAATTATTCTCTTCAAAATGCTACCTTCCATACATCCTGGAAAACCGCCCTAGTACGCCCATTGAAGAAGACTTCAAACCCATCAGTTCCTAATGATTTCCGACCGATTTCCCTCCTTTCAAACCTCTCAAAACCATTAGAGCGGTTAGTCCAATCCCAGCTATCCCATTTTTTAGAGGACAATAATCTCCTAAATCCCTACCAGTCCGGTTTCAGGCCTGGTTATTCTACTCAGTCTGCCCTAATCAAAATTTCCCAAGACCTTCACACAGCCATAGATCAGCAGAAACTAACCATCCTTATTCTCCTAGACTTCTCCAAAGCTTTTGATTCAGTAGACCACAACATCCTCCTAACCAAACTTAAAAATATCTCTTTTTCTTCTAGTTCCCTTAATTGGTTCCAATCCTTCCTAACCGGTCGCTCCCAGTACGTTGTAATTCCTAATAACCCACCATCAGAATCTCTACCTCTGACCAGAGGCGTCCCACAAGGCTCTTCCTTATCCCCCACCCTTTTCTCCATCTATATAAATGACCTCCCATCCTCTATCCTGCACTGTCATTACCACCTGTATGCCGACGACATTCAAATTTACCTCTCCTTTAATCCGACAGATATCTCAGATGCCACTCAAAAACTTCAGGAAGATATTGACAGAATAAGTGCTTGGGCAAACCTCAATAGGCTCACTCTGAACGCCGAGAAGACAAAAGCCATCTTGATCGGATCCCCTTCACTCCTCAAATCCTCCCCGGTATCTCCCAATCTCTTCCTGAACAACTCACCTATCTTATTCTACACCACCGTTAAAAACCTAGGTGTTACTTTCGATCAATCCCTATCCTGGAAACCTCACATCTCCCAAATTTCCCGTCGCACTATCTCCACCCTAAAACAGTTCAATCGTCTACGATATCTCCTTCCATATAAGTCCCGTCAACTCCTAGTTTCCTCCCTTGTTTTCCCCCACTTCGACTATGGCTGTATGGTGTACGGTGGACTCCCGGGAGATTCCGAGGCCAAACTTAAACGCCTAATGAATTGCGCACTACGATTTGTTTTCGGAATCTCAAGGGATACGCATATTACCCAGTATTACACTGAGTTGAGGTGGCTCTACCCATCCTATAGCCGTCAGTACTTCCTAGCCACCTTTCTGTACCAAATTATTAGAACCCATCGACCCTCCTATATTTTTCACAGCTTACAATTCAAATATTCCATCCAATCCCGTCCCACCAGATCTCGTACTTCCGACCTCTATCCTCCTCCTCACCGAACTGCTGCGTTTGACAAATCCTTTGTAATACAAGCCGCCTCCCTCTGGAATTCCATCCCAGCTGATATTCGACACGCTCAATCAGTTTCCTCGTTTAAACCTCTCCTCTTTAAGCACCTACTCCTTTCTCAATCCGAATGATTGTGAAATATATCTAAGAGAAATATCTGAGCACCACCAGAGACTACCTCAATTTATTAAGGTTATTTTAGTTTCTCATACATATGTACAATTTACTTGTTCTTTTTTTTCTCTTTTCTGTATTTTTATCGTAAGTCAACTTTCATTGTAAATATACAATTTAATTGTAGCCACACAGACATATAATCTGTATTCATATTTTGTTCTTAAGGGACACCAGTCCCAGAATAATTAAACATTTTTTTCATTTTCATTTCATTTCATTAAGTCCTTTGATCCTGCCTTCATATAGGTAAGGTTCAAGAATTAATATTATATCAATATCATTGATATACTGTTGCAACACTTCACATGCCGCAATGCAGTTGTGGATGTTGATCTGCAGCAGTTTCATATATTTTTGATTGTTTATTTTCTGGAAGGTGGTTTTCCAGACGGGGCCGATGGTAGGGTTCCTCCATCAGACTCAGTTTTCACTTTGTCTTTAGGTTTCTTCCCGCCTCTCGACCTCGCTTTCGAACCCCCACCAGTGTTAGATGAGTGCTGCGAGACAGAGGTCTGGCCACCTGACCGCGACAGTGGCTGGGGTTCGCCTCTGTAACCAGTTTTCACTGGTTCCTTTGGCTTAGCCCCGCCTCCTGCCCCGGCCGACGGCCTCGACCCCGTCCTCAACGCACTCCTTCCCGAAGAGGAAGATTCCTTGTTCTCCCTCTCCTTTGATGTGTCTGCTTTCGGCGCCTCCTCTTTCATTTCCTCCGGAGCAGGTTTACTTCCTGATGCCAAGAACCTGAAGGTGATAACATATATCCCACAGCAGGCCTGCATTCCATGTTCAGTGAGGTTCTGGAGGCTGGTCTCCGGTATGTTAAATACTTTGAAGGATCCTCTTTCCAGAGCCTTGAAGTTAAACACGGTCTAGGTTTTGATTCCAGTAATAGATTGGTTTTGAATCTGGAGCCGGTTTAAATAATATTCAGCAGGTAGTGCCTTTCCTGGAAAGAAGGCTCCAATCCTGATAATTTTTGTTAGATCACCTGCTTCACAAGTTCGTAGGGTTAATCCTTCCTTAATTGTGATGCTCGGTGTTATGCTTTTAAACCATTCTACCGTATGGCTGTCAAGGCAGGATACAAGACATCCTCCGAGCTTAAAAAGCGCCCCGTCGAACTTTGGATGTACGTCTCCGCCTATTGTGAGCTCGTCAATTTTACTGGCGATTGCTTCTTTAAGATCTTCGCATTGGTCATAGGTAAGCTGGATCTGCGGGTAGTCGACAGGAACTACCGCGACCATCTGTCCTTGTGCAACCTTTGCATAGTTTCTAGGCCTTTCAGCCTCCCTCGGTTTCTTAGCTTCCATAGCTGAGGCTCCTAGGGATTTCCTAGCTCTTTTTTCCACAGGCAGTCTTGATCTAGACCTCAACCTTTGAGGCCTCGCACTCTTAGCTGCTGGCCTACGTGGCCTCGCAAACTTAGATGCTGACCTCTTGGGTGTGTCCTTCTCATCCCCTGCCTGTGTTATTGGAGCTTTACCCTCCTCGGCAGCTTCGTTTGCCAGGCCTTTTGGGCCCTTGCATCCTCCACTGCCTGCCTTTGAGTAGGCTCCAATTCGCTAGATGTTTGCCCTTGATCTAAGGCCTCCCTTTCACGACTCTCCGCCTTGTCCGCCAGGCCTTTTGGGGCCCTTGCTTTCTCGACAGAGTTCTCTAAAGGTGGCCTTTTCTCTTCTTCTGGGCTTGATAGTTGTTGGGCCTTTGCCCTCCTCCTAAGGCGCCTCTTCGCATTCCTTATCTTCCTCCACGTGGCAGGCCTCGAGTCTTCCGACTCTTGGTCCCCGCACTCCGTGTGGTCGAGTCCAGAATGCGATTGGCTTCTAACCATTTCTGGCTTGTTACATTCTTCCACGTCCATCTTCTCTTCCGGGGCCTGCACCATTGCACAAGCCACCTCCATCAATTCCTTCTCCTTTAGGTCTGTTTGGACGTGGAGTGTTCCGACATCCTCTGTTAGGGTTTTGAGTAATTCCCCTACCAGAGTTTCATCAATCTTATCTGAGGTGATCTCTGATAAGTTTAAAAGCTCCTCGGAGGACAAGTCCTCCTCGGATACCGACGATTTACTGTTTTTATTTTTGTGTTTAAAAATGGACATTTTGGTTCCCACGAGTATGGGGGTCAATGGAACTGCAGGTACTACCCCCTCTCCCTGCAGCCGGCTACTTGAAATGGGGTGTCGCCCGGTTCCCCAAGTGAGTCGATAAAAGACAGTATATTTTTACCCACCCTCTGCCACTCAGCCTCAGCTCGTGCGCCCCGACCTAGCTTGGGTGCCTAACAGGTTCCATCCCACATGTATCATCCGCATACATATGGATGGAACCAACGAACCCCGCCTCTGTCGTCCGCGAGTCCCATCGGACTCCCCGGGGGGCACCACATGGAGGTGACAGTAGGTGTTGATAGGGATAAGGAGATATGGGAACTCACAAGCAGTGGGTAGGGCACTTCACTCGATCATTCCGCAAAGAGTTGGAGAGATTCCCGGACCTATCTCCCTCTCTAGACCTCCCGTTACCCTATCCATTAGCCCCCCTTATATAAATAGGATAAATATAGAAATCATTTTTATTTACTAATACACGTATCAGGTATTGACCATTAAATTCTACAGACGATGTATCATTAATATTATTTTTGATACCAAATAAACAACCTCCACTTGTTCTACCATAAAACTTACTTCTATCTGCACTTTTCCACAATTATCTGAATCCCTGAAAATACTTTTCAAATAAATAAAAATCCTTATCCTCTGTAAAAGTTTCAAACAATAAAAAAATAGAATAACTTTTGACAAAACTAATTTACTTCATTCAACTTATTTCTCAAACCATTTACGTTATAAGCCATAATCTTTAAATTACCACCAGATCAGTTTTGATCATACCAGTCTCTGATCTTTTTTTGAAGTAGTTTTCTTATCTTCACTTGGATGAGACGGTTCCAAATATTTTTCTATTGTTTCTATTAAATATTTAACTATTGTGGTTTTACTCTTTACTAAAAGTAAAGAAAGATGAATCTTATTTAGGAATCAAGGATTTTCTTAACGGTGATTAGTATACTTTCACTCATTCAGTTAGTTTATTAAACGGAAGATTGCTATTCTCTTTTACCTTTTGATATTTTCTATTGTTCCAATTATCTTTGTCCTTATCAGATTTCTTGACTAATATAAAAATCATTAACACTTTGTTTTATTTTCAGAATATTTTATATTTCGAGAACCATCCAAGCACATGAAGCTTATATTTTTAATTATGTTATTATTATAAATATATTGCTGTGACATATTCATATTTTGAAGCATTGCTTGAAAATTATGAGATTCGTAGGTCTATTATAAAAATATTTCTTGAACTCATTTAAAAAACCTAATTAGTGTATTTAATTTTTTATAACAGAACGTTAAATAATCCTGCAGATCAGATGGATGTTATAGGAGTTGGTGGAATCAACTTTGATGATCAGATAGCTAAATTTTCTTCTCGAGGAATGACTACCTGGGAGCTGCCCCAAGGGTTAGTATTTCTGATAATTTTTTATCATAATTTTATCTATCATCGTGCATTAATCTGATGGCTGGTGGTATGTGAACAAATAATAAATCATTTGATTTTGTCAAACCTAGGATACAATGTAAAACTGTGTCAAACTACTCCACTTTATTTATTATTATTGGTATATAGAATTTCCTTAGTCAATGATTTTGTTTATTTTTAAAAAAAATTAATATTTATGGTTACAAACTAATTTATATAATTAATCACAAATTTATAAACTTAGCAACAATAATTTAAGTCGATTTTAAATGATCAAATTGTAACTTTTCACTGTTCACTTATTCTCAGTTAATGAACTATTAACTGGAAGGATAAAATAACCATTACTTGTCAGTCAGAATAGTAATGATTACCTTTTTTATATAAAAGAAAGAATTTAATAAGTTTAATTGAGCTCTGTTATTTTTAATTTTAGTTTATTAGTGTAATTATCTAACCAATCATGTTAATTAATTTTTTCTCTATTGTCTTCTAATGCCAGACTTATATAACTTTTCTAGTAATTGTGCTTATTCTTGGGGGGACTAAATGTTCCAAAATAAAATTTAGTTTTCTTTATAGTAAGTTAATATTTTATTAAAAATTCATTGGCTGGTGGATACAGTGCCTCTGATTGTCCCAGTGGTCATCAGTCAGTGATGAGATGATTGAAGACTTGAATAGTTCAAACAGGCCATGTCGGCAGTTGGGGTTTGCCGAAGGTCCCAAAGGTAGGGAGGGGGCTCTAAAATTAATGTTTTATATTTTTTTAGTAGCATGGTATGTTTTGTTCCCAAAATAATCTGACAGTCAGCCTATAGTCATAAATTCGCCTTCTGAACTTGACCTCTTCGCTTGACTTCTCTGCTCTAGTTCCTCCATCACATCCCGTCATTTTTCAGCTACTTTTTTTGTTAATTTATTTTTTATAACTTTAATTTTTCTTTTACTTTTGTCTATGAAAAAGTCAAATTAAAAAACTTATTTTATTTACTTATATATACAACACAATAAGACATAATAATGGTTACATGCTTGTGGCAACATTACCTTACATATGTTATAATAAAGTGGTGTGATTGCTATTTTTTTTATGCTGAAATCTATTTTGTACAGTAGTAAAACTTTTGTCTACGTGTATATTTCAGTTTCGCCAGAAGTAATTATTTTGTTCAGTTTTTATTTTTTGTAGTCTCTTCTTTCCATATATACTAACCACTTCTGTTTATTTAGATATAAGTTTTATTTATTGTCCTGCGTATTAACCAGTATGCTGTGTGTCTAGCAACCCAATATTATTTGGCAGAAAACTTTTATATTTTATATGAAAGTATGTTGTTTCTCTACTCATTTTTACTTTCACTTACCTATATATGTAATACATAGTAAGGGTAAGTATTAGATTGTGAACATTTTCGAATCTGAGTTTTCAATAGAAATACACGTCTTGAGATCCATCCCCTGAGTCCAAATAACCAAGTCCCGAAAAATGGTCTGTGTGTATGTTAGCAGTCTAGCTCAAAAACGAAAAGTCGTACGAAACTAATATTACGTATTTAAGGTAGGTATATGCCCAGGGATTCCCCCCAGCTACTGGGCGGGTCCACAGTTGATGGATAGTGGAACAGCCTGCAGGTATCCAGGTTAGCTGCGAATAAGGGTCACCAAATAAGCAGTCCTGGACCACGGGGGACAGCATCAGCAGGAGTGGGCGTCTGGCCATTGGCAAGGCCAGGTGTATTAAAATACCACATAATCCAATGACGATGCTGTGATGTGGTGAGTAAGTGCCGCCACTAAATATGCACTGCCTTGTACGGTTTTGGAGGGGACCTCAAAGGCTAGGTGAAGGTATTCCGAAAATAAACCAGGGGTGGTCTGGACTCTAAGCTCTGGTGAAAGCAACCAGACCTGGTCCTCCAGGTTGGTGATTGGGCATGGGGCCAACAACCTACCTTGTAAAAAACAAACCCGTTATGAAACCTAAAAATAGCAAGCTGGATAGAAATAAAGACAAAAGAACTCGGATTTGGATTTAAATGTCGCTACATGGAATGTCTGTACGATTCTCCAGCCTGGAAAGATGGCAGAGGTAGCGGAGCAGATATTAAAATATAAAATAGACGTTGTAGCTTTACAAGAAATTCGATGGAACGGGGAAGGCAGAATCGATAAGGTCAAGAAGGGAAGAAATTGTTCTGGATTCATTGTGGCAGGAAAAGCAAGACGGAGTGTACTATCATTTGATCCTGTTAATGCAAGGATCTTAAAAATGAGACTGAGGGGAAGATTTAGGAATGTCACCTTAATATCTGTGTATGCGCCAACTGAGGACAGAGAGGACGAGATAAAACTCGACTTCTATCAGGATCTTAAAAGGACTTTTTTGGCAACTCCACATTAAGATATGAAAATTGTTTTGGGTGATGAAAATTGAATGCACAAATAGGAAAAGAAAGTTTTGTTGGTGCAGTATCTGGTCGATTCACAATTCATAGTGAGACAAATAATAATGAAAAGCTTCTTTGTCAGTTTGCGGAAGCCACTAATATGGTCATAAGGAGCACTATGTTCGAACACAGAAATATACATTTAGGAACATGGAAATCCCCAAACGGAGCAATAACACAAATTGATCATGTATTGGTTTAGAAAAGGCATGCAAAGTCAATTATTGATATCACAGCAGCGAGGGGACCAAACTGTGACTCTGATCATTATGTGCTTAAATTGAACCTCAGACAGCATCTTGCAGTGATAAGAACTGATCAACAGCACTGTAGGAAAAGGTGGGAGATTGATAAGCTGAAAGACCCTGAGATTGCTGAGAGATTTAGAACATTTTTTCTAAATAGGAATCTGATAGACAGTCAGAACGATGAGGGAGAAGAATGTGTAGACAAAAAATGGAAGAGAATTATAGGAGCTATTGAAAAGTCAGCAGAGGAGGAGATAAGTGAGAAGAGTAGGCAAAGGAATGAGGAGTGGTTTGATGCTGAATGCCTTGAGGTCCTGTGTGAAAGAAATCAATGTAGGACGGTGATGTTGCAGCGCTCTACAAGACAAACTTCTACAGTATGTAGAGAAATTCGGAATAAAGCAAAGAAGGTTATTTGAAATATGAAACGAGTTTTTATGAAAAGGAAAATAGAGCAGATTGAGGAATTGAGAGCAGCAATGAGACAAGAAAATTTTGTGGAGCAGTTAAGTTTATGAGTCAGGGTTTTGAGTCAAAAATGACCTGATTCAAAAATAAAAATGCCGTGGTAGTAGAGAGCTCCCGAGTTCTAGTTGGATGGGAAGAGCACTACACGGAATTGCTCAACTCAAGTGGTAATGAATGTATGGTTGGCAGTGATGAAGAAGGGTGTGTTGATGACCTGGAGCCATTGTCTATAGAAGAAGTGGCTGAGGCGATTGAAAAGTTAAAAAATAACAAAGCATCTGGGGAGGATATGCTGATTGCAGAATTCTTTAAGTAAGGAGGAGAAGATTTGATAAGTCAAATACATTTACTATTGGAGGAAGTTTGGAGTGGTGAAATCATGCTTCAGGAGTGGTGCACCAGTCTGATATGCCCGATATATAAAAAAGGAGATAAACTCCAATGCGAGAATTACAGAGGCATTTCCCTATTGGCTGTAGCCTATAAAAAATTTTCAAACATCCTCTTTGTGAGGTTCGCTGAGAACATACTGGAGGAAAACCAGTGTTGATTTAGGAAGGGGAGAGGAACAACTGATCAGGTCTTTGTGATGAGACAGATAATGCAGAAAGCTTGGGAATGTAAGATTGACCTACATATGCTGTTCATAGATTGCCAGCAAGCTTTCGATAGAATGATAAGAAGATAATTAATAAATGTCTTACATGAGTCCCAAATTCCAAAAAAAATAATAAGGTTATTGCAAATGACTATGAATAATAGCAATGCAAAATTATTTAGTAAAGGCAATGTAAACAATAGCTTTCCAATGGCGGATGGAGTTAGGCAAGGGGGTGCTTTGTCTGCCACATTGTTTAATATTGCACTTAATAATGTGTTGAAAAAACTGGATTCACCTGGTTGCATACTTAACACAATGGTGCAAATATTTGCTTACACTGACAATATATGCCTAATTACCAGGGATTTGAGATTAATAAAAGAAATATTTGCAATATTGAAAGCCATAGGTGAAAATGTTAGGCTGGAAATCAATCAAGTTAAGACAAAATACATGTATGTCGGAGCCAACAATGAGGCTGGTCCACAGAGTATTGAAATATGTGGTCTCACCTTCGAGTGTGTCCAAAAATTCACATACCTGGGGGTGGAAGTGAATTCTGAAAATAAAATTGCTGCTGAAGTGTTTAAGAGGATCATGGCTGGAATCCTGGCGTACTATGCCAACCTAAAATTTGTTCGATCATCGCTTCTGTCACGAGAAACAAAGATAAGACTATAGTAAAACCTATTGTGACTTATGCAGCGGAGACATGGAACCTTTGTACTAGCACAAATAGTATGCTGAATATTTTTGAACGAAAAATTTTGAGAAAAATTTATGGAGCTGTTTGTGAAGAGGGTGTGTGGAGGTATAGAAAAAATGCAGAGCTATGTGAATTATATAATAGCGCCAACATAGTTAATTTCGTTAAAATTAGGCGTATGGAATGGTTAGGCCACGTGGTTAGAATGGACTACAGCAGGATGCCTTATAGGGCATTGTTCTCCACAATGTATGGCACAAAAAGAAAGGGAAGACCAAGGAAAAGATGGCTAAAAGATGTTGAGAGAAACCTTAGAACACTGGGCGTGAGAAATTGGAAGGAAAGAGTGAGCAAAAGAAACGATTGGCATGCTATAATTCAGGAAGCCAAGGCCCACCCTGTGCTGTAGAGCTACATAGTAAGTAGTATATGCCTTAGATGTTACCGGAAATTTTTCCTAAAAATCAGCTAACCGGAAGTGCCACTTTAAATCAACGCTGAAACAG